AAAAGCCCCCTTTATCCCTGCCCGATGAAGGCACCAAACTCTCAATCCGAAAACCCTAAACCCTAAACAAGTCGGGAAACCCCAAACCCCAAATCCGAAACCCTAAACCAAAAACCCTTTCGGGAACGGGGCCTCAGCAAGTGTCGAAGCCCAAATGCTTGCTGCCACGCGGTGCTTGCGGTACCTTTTCAGGGATTAGGGTTTCGGGTTATAGGGACTAGGCTCTAGGGTTTAAGGGCCCGAGGTTTAGGTCCTAGGGCAAGGTCTATGCGGTTTCGGGTTCAGAGTCATTCATGAGCAAAGCTCGTAGATCAAGACTCTTGCTTTTGAGTGTTGGCAAAGGACAATGATCCATCAGGATTTCATGAGGGGGTGGCATGGCTTGTATAATGTAGGGGCCTTAATAATTTGAATAGCGCTTTGGGGGTTCCTGATTATAATTCTAGATAACTAACCCCAAAACTCAGTTCTAATTACTAAGGCCCCTATAGTACTCAGGGTTTCGCAGAGCTACATAGAAAGTCACGAAGTCCATTGAGGGTACGGGGCTCGATCGAGGGCGATAGGTCTTTGGGGTTTAGGGTTAGGAGTTTAGGGGTTTAGGGTTTAGGGGTTTAGGCTTCCGAACCCGAACCGTGCCCTCCCAATCCCAAACTCCTTGGGTTTAGGGGTTTAGGGTTTTTAGGGTTTAGAGTTCAGGGCTTAGGGTTTAGGGTTTGGGGTTTAGGGTCCCAAATCCAACAAATTCAAACTTCCTCTCGCAAATCAAGCCGGGACTTCACCTTGACGGTGCGACGGGAAGGGGAGAGCAAGGGCACTTGCAGCAGCAAATGAGCCGTAGCTGGCTGCGTCCAACCTCAGCTGCGTTCCACTTGGGGTTTAGGGTAAGGGTTTGAGGTTTAGGGTACCCTAAACCCTAAACCCGGTATAGAATGGTATAGGGTTTAGGGGTACAGAGTTGCTTACTTGAACCTCTAGTAAGCCTTAGGGGCTCATTTTTGCGATCTTTGGGCTGGGGATTGAGGGTTTAGGGTCGTGAACCCACAGCTCAAAAGTCTCAATCACCGACACTTCAAAATAGCCCCAAACCCGACACCCCACTGCACTCAACCAAAAAACTCGTCAATCCTAAACTCTAGGCCGTCAACACTAGATGTTTCGTCGCGCCGTAGCTTCAAAGCTGCTTTGAAGACAGTTGGGTTTTAGGGTTGACGGGTTTAAGGCTCCAGTCCTTGCTACTCTAAACCCTAAACCCTATACACTAAACCCTAAACCCTATACCCTAAGCCCCAAACCCTAAACACAGCCACTGTCCTTGCTATGGGCATGGCTGCGAAACCTCGTTTGCAAAGTGCCTCCTATCACTCAGACCGAGGGCTGCACAATCTGAGTCCGTGGGTTCGGTTTAGGGCGTAGGGTTTAGGGCTAGGGTTTAGGGTTTAGGGTTTAGGGTTTAGGGTTTAGGGTTTAGGGTTTAGGGTTTAGGGTTGAGAGTTGAGAGTTGAGAGTTTAGGGTTTAGGGTTTAGGGTTTAGGGTTAGGGTTTAGGGTTTAGGGTTTAGGGTTTAGGGCAGCTATACTGTAGTATGCCCGAATATGCCGCCCCACTCCGAGGATACAAACCCATTCTACGTACTACGGCCCCTTATAAAGCCCTGAACCCTGAACCCTAGACACGAAACCCACCCCAAAGCCCGAACCCGCACAGCATCCTAAATCCCAAACTGCCTAAACTCCATTACGCCTCAACCCGGGGTTAGGGCTGCGGTTCGTAAACAGAAATCCTAAACATTGAACCCTAAACCCCTAAACCCCTAAACCCCTAATCCTCAGGCTCCTGCTTGCAGGCCTGGCCAAGCATTCGGACCTTGGCTGGGATCTGAGGCGCGGCTTGTTGGGTTCTGCGACGCTCCACTGGGTTGCTTTCGGGGGTTCCTTTGCCGATCCCGCTTAAGAGTTTTGTGGCATGTTAGAACTATAAGTAGGCTAAGCCCTGAGGAAACTTGCTCTAATCACCAAGGGTTCTATATTTGGGATGTAACCGGTTTCTCTAAGAGCCCTGTCAACTGTGTCGTGAGTTCGGGTTATGGATACTACAGGCTTTGTTTCGGGTTTGATGAACCGCAACCTCGTATATGGTCAAGTGGGCTCCTGCGGGCGCTTTCATCCGGAGAATCATTGGGTCGTTTATGCGTCTTCATGAGGAGTTTAGGGTTTACGGTTGAGGGATGTATAAGGTATAAGGTGTTGTATAGATGTTACGGGATTCACTATACAGAACTTAGACCCCTAGCAAAAATTATTATTTTAGCTGCTTCTTAGGGTTTGTAGTAGCCAAAGATTAAAAATTATTTCTAAGTACCCCTAAGTTCAAAGGGGGGTTGGATTTGCTTTTAGGCACGGTCAAGCTTGTATCAGGGACCCGCATCTTCTGAAACTTGTATCCTGGAGGTGAACCCTAAACCCTAAACTCTAAACCCTAAGCTCTAAACCCTATTAAACCCCAAGCTCTAAACCCTAAACTCTAAACCCTAAACCCTAACTCCAAACCCGAAAAGTTTAGAGGTCAACGAGAGGGAAACTCCTTCTGGGCGTCCTGCAGGGCCTGGCTCGAAGTCTCGGAATCCCCATCTGCCCGTAGCTTGCAACCGCAAAGAACTTGCAGGGTTTAGGGTTTAGGGGTGAATAGTTTTGGGTTTAGGGCTTTGGGTTCAGGATTTAGGGCTTAAGTTTAGGGTTTAGTTTGATCGTCTTAGTCGGAGGGATGAGCAGATGCGAGTATGGTAAGCTTTACTTACAACCCGCGTCCTTTTACTTGTGACCCCGATCCGTGGAACCTTTTTCTTCTTCATGCGTTGAGACATAAAAGCGTAGAATTCCCTCACATCATGTTCCTCGTAGGCGACATGGCAGCGATCCAAGTAAGCCACCTCAGCCCGTTGGGAATTTCCCAATCCATTGTCTCTTTTGGCCTCTGACAGAGCTGCTGGGTGTGATAGATCCTCGCAAGGTGACATGCTCTACAATACACTACAACTGATCCTGTTATTACTGTTCTCCCAGATGACTGTTGTCGCATTGGATTGAGCCATGAGCCATACTGAAAATGTAACGTCGCAATGCATCCCTGAAGCTTCGTAGAATGACTGCGAGCTCTTGTGTTTCCCGCCCTGTCCTCCCATGCCAGCTTGCCACAACCCACCTTGTTTTCAAAAAAGAAAACGTGGAGGGTTTGCCTGCACTCGACCGCTTTGTCCACATTTGCCTTCCATTTAGCGAACCATTGGCACCCCCAAGGAGCACGCCCTTGGTTCTCCTTGCACTTCTCCGTCGCTTCTGATAAGGCTTCTTCCTTCCTCTGCTTCCAAACGCTGTCCGTTTCACCTTGGCGAATAACCAGCACCTGGCCCATAGCTTCAGCATCTTGTAACTTGAAGTCCAGCTGTTCTTGGGTCATCTTGTCAGCATCTTCAACAACTTCCAAGTACGCGTGAGGCGGCAGCTTTCCATATAGAGACTGACACCAGCATCGGCCCAAAGGTTCACCGGCAACATCTGCATGGACCCCAAGGCCCGTGGCTTTGTTGGTGAGGAAGACGCATGCCAAACTGCAAGAGTCTTCATGCATTTCCACCTGAAGACGGGTTTCAGGCGGAGGCGGGAAAGAGCAGCTGCCCTAACTCCTCGAGTGCCGCTTTGGTAGTTGTCGTGGGCTGATGTATTTTCTAATTACTGGGGAGTCGCTGCAGTTGATGCTATTTATTAATGCTAGGAACCTCCTACACGTAACAAGGCCTAACCGTCTACCTCCCACCTTGCGCACAGCATCATCCCATTCCTCAGTGGCACAACTCCATCTGATGCTTGCGTCACGAAGCCCCTTGAAATTGTGCAGGCGACTGCAGCAGTTCTGAAAACAAAGCCCGTGGGTGGTGAACCAATCACAGCCTAAGCGCTTGCCTCATACCATGGACACCTTGCAACATCCTTTCCGACATCAAACCTGAACGATTCCCAAATTCTCCGTTTCTGCAATCGCCTGGCGACAGAAAGGGGTTTGGGGTTTAGGGTTTAGGGCTCCCAAATGTGAGCAAGGCTCCATGGCATATTTGCCAGGAAAGCTGACAATGCAGTCCCTGGCAGAAAGATTCACCCTTCCGGGGAAGGCGACTCTGTGGCCCCTGGAACCCATCATCCATGACAACTCTCCCAAGGCGATCACATCTTCCTCTGGGCCTATGACTCCCCCTATAACAAGGATCATAATCTGATTGAAGATCAGGTCCACGCCGGCGTACCAGCCGAGACCTATCGCGGGCACTATCCAGGTCTGCGTCAGTGGCATGTGGGCTGCCTCGACCACCGTCATCACACTGCCCAGGTGCAAGAAGAAGCTCTGCTTGTTGAGCAGCTTTGCAAATTGGGGATCTTTCTCCTCGCGGCTTGCAGCGAGCTCTGCCGCATCTTTCGCTAGAGATGCTAGAGCTCGGGCTTGAAACAGTGTGGTCACCACCAGCCACAGCCAGAATGCCTGGTCTTCTGTGTGCAGATTGACGTTCCACTCATTCCAAAACAGAAAACACAGGATGGCTGCTCTCTTCCGTCCCAGCTGCCAAAGCTTCACCCACGACACGATGGCTTGGAACTTGTGCAAACGCCAGATTCGGTCTATGTCGTCCTGCCGATGCTCTTCAGTGTATGAGGCTCTTGGGATGGTGAGGATTCCCGATGTCATGAGTTGATGGGAGCCAACCAGGCTGGCCACGTGCAGACATGACCCCTGGAATTTCCACATATAGGGGATGCAAAGACAAGCAATGACGATGGGGAAGATCAGCAAGATGGCTGTGGCTGCACCGTGTGGGCCGAGATGATCCAGCCACTGCTTTTCGTCTTCTGATGGGTGCGCGATAGCTTCTATATTGGCAGCTAGGACACAGATTGTCCACGTCGACAGCCAGCCTGCAAACGCGGTTTTTACAACGAAGACGAAGCCGAATCGCCAGTCGCAACCACCGGGCCACCGAAAATTTTGGGCCTCACTTTCGCCGACCAGCAACGGGCTGTGCAACCAGCTCTGTTCTTCCATGGCTGTGGAACCGATCTGAACTGGATGATTTGCTTTGTTTGGCCATGCCTATCTCGGTTGACAAGTTTGGATTTGGGCTTTCTGAAATGCTCTTTGACAGGTCGAGATTGGGTCTTTCCTATGTGACACATGGACTGACTGAACATCTCGCCGATTTTTGACCTGCGACTTGCCAAGGAAGGCAGTGTGACTTGCCAGGGGGTCATTGACTCGAGGAGTGCCCTACCCATAGGCCCTATAGTAGTTCCTTTCGGTGGCTTATATTTAGGATCCTATTAAGTAATCCCAAAAAGGAACTACTATGGGGCCTATGGGTACCCAGGCCCGCAGGATTCAGGACTGATGCGGGGATGTGCGGTGGACAAGTGTCTTATCCTAAAGAACCCAGAAGGTTCGCACTCCTTCAGCACAAGCACTGACTTCACACATGCAAGCGTCTGGGCCGTAAGGGTCGTATCCACTTTGAGGACTCAAATAGAGGAAGCTTCCGTAAGAAGCTAAATGATTCCGTAAGAATGTCAACATGCCTTCCTGCTCATGAGTTCGTCGGGCAGAGAGCTTTCCATGTCTAAGCAGCACGCAATAAATGTGGTAGCCGCCATCCAGGAAGCAGATGCCGTCGCCTTGCATGAACAGTTTTCAGCTCAACTCTCCCCGAACTCCTGGAGGCTTCATAGCTGTTAGACTCTACTGAACGCCCTAACGGCGGTGGGCTTCGGGTTTGAGATTGTGGGTCTGCGGATCCCATAGGACTTGGTACCCAAAGCCCTAAACCCCAGCGATGACGGGCTTCAGGCTTGTGGCTTTTGCCGTCCAGGTTCGTTTCAGGGGCCGATGAACCCTAAACCCTAAACCCACTAAGCAGGGCTCGCCTCAAAGATGCTCGCATGAATTATGTACCTTGAGAGGTTGTCCGTGCTTTCTCGTGTGGCTTAACGGTTTCGAGTGGGGTTACAGAAGCTGCTGAACTAAGAACAGAAACATATCAGAGATCATGCTAAGGATCCGGCGATAGTTTCTAGGATATTGCTTGGTTAAGGATTTGAGGTGTGTACTCAAGCGGACTCCTGCGTTGTGGTGAGCCATTCCTAGACCCTAAGCCCCAAAATCCCTACACTGAAGCCTAGAACTTTTGGTGCTCTGTCTGTACCCCCTCTCCTGACAGCAGCAATGGATAGGCTAATTAGCCCGAGAGCCAAACGTCAAGCTAGCGCTGAACCAGCAAAAAACTGAAAGCAATCGAAAACGGTGTAGGGCTTGACTTTTTTGGGGGGGAACTCGATGCAAGGCCTGAAGTTGCTTGCAGCTTTGCACCCGGAGGTATCACTTACAATCCTAAGCTGCGTCCCTTGCGCAGGCTGCGAGGACCGCGTTGTTCAGGATGACCTTTGGCTTTGGAATTACTGCGGGAGCCTTCATAATTACCCAAACTATTTTTTGGGGGTCCTTATCCTAAAGATAGTATATAAATATACCCCAAAACCCGATTCGAATTATTAAGGCCCCTACATTACGCAATCGGAAGGTTGTGGGCGGCCGCTGTCACTCAAGTCCATAGGTTCCAGCCCCAGGTGCTGGGCTTTTGCTCGCATTTTGACTAGAGGCTGCAGTGCTCAGGGTGCTTGAGGTTTTGGGCTTAAGGTTTAGAGTTTAGGGTTTAGGGCGGCTTAAGGGTTTAGGTCTGGGGTTTAGGATTGGGGTCTCTGATCGTCTTAAGGTTTCAGGGTTTCGTGTTTTGAATATTGAGCCTCAGGTTTTGCCCTCTTAACGCCGCTCCGTGGATTTCAGCAATCGAACATTTAGAGGAAATGGCGCCTGTATTGTAGAAGCCTGAAGAGTGACTTTGAACTCGTGGTTCAGGAGATCAGAACTTGGGATGGACTGAAGCGGCAAAAGCAAGGGGAATGACTGAGCAGGCCTCTTGATCCCCAAACCCGGCAACAGCATGATCATCTTAGTTGCTGAGTTCATAAGCCCCAATAAGTGTGCACTTTCAGTTCTATAAGGGAACAAATAATCCAAAAAAGGGTAACGTGTACTCACTCAGCTACTAAGTCATGCTGACGTCATACTCAGAATGCCGTGCGTAGTTACAGAATGCAAGATTCCACGATCCCTGGCCGCCAAGTGGCTTTAACATCATGGATGTGGTGTAGAATCTGTTTGACGCAGCCCTAAACCCCTAAACCCCAAACCCTAAAAACAGGCTACCAGCACCCCCCAACTACCCACTACTATACCCTAAAATACCCATTATGAAGGACCACAAGGGCTCTGTTAAAGGGTACTTGGGCGGTGCTGGTATTTCACTGGTGACCAGGAATCTTCGTTTTTGTTCGGTTGAGGGTTTCGGGTGTAGCGCTCTTTTTGGCGGCAGCAGGAGGTCGGTGTTTGGGCCTTGGCCTGTGGTTTGAGGGTTTATAGGGTTTGGGGTTTAGGGTTAGGGTTTAGGGTTTAGGGTTTTGGGTTTAGGGTTTAGGGTTGGGGTTTAGGGTTTAGGGTTTAGGGGTATTAGGGCGAGGCAAGGGCAGGGGGCGGTGTCGAAACGTAAATGAGTTCCCTGGCCTTAGGACCTTTTTGTGAGTCCCGAAGACGGTATCTAAGGGCTTTAGGAGGGACCCTTGCTTTAGGAGGGACCCTTAGTAGGGACCCTTGTAGGTTATTGGGGTTAATATGGAGACTACCTGGCTATATAAGGAGTATATAAGGACTATACAACGGTTATTTAAGGTAATGGGATTAAGGGTCCCTATTAGGGGTCCCTCCTAAAGTCCTTAGACGGTATGGGCAACAACGGTCCTGCTACGCTCTGGGCTGTGCCCGGGCCCTTCGCCTGAAATTGCTCTTGCAACTTGCCACTGTCATGCTCCCAATCTGGGGTGTGCAGCCTGGGGCTTGTGTTTCTGCCTCATCTCTACATACTTACTGGCTTCAGACTCAAGGCACCTTGAACCCTTATACACACTGCTTCAAGATTCAACTTCGGCTGTCGTATCACACACAGTGGGAGAAGACCCCTAAACTCCCTTAACCCACCTCTTCGGTTCAAACTCGCAACTTCAAACCACGATTTCCCTCCCCCAACAACAGATTCCGCAATTTTAGAAGGGCTTATGAATTTAGCGTGGGTGTTCCTTTAAAAGGGATCTAGAATAGATAAGGGTTACTTTGAAGGCTTGCGGCCAGCATGTACAACTTATCGACGCCGAAAGACATCTGTGCCAGCTCATGCGGGAAGTTCTCTTGACCGTGCACCTTTGTAAAGGCATGTTGAAGAAATCTCAACCCCGCAATCCGCAAGGGCCAATCCTACACCCATAAACCTCAACATCCTAAAACCCTAAACCCTAAACCCTAAATCCTAAATCCGTAAACCTCAACATCCTAAAACCCTAAACCCTAAACCCATAAACCTCAACATCCTAAAGCCCTAAACCCTAAAACATCCTAAAACCCTAAACCCTAAATCCTAAACCCACAACCCTCAGCATCCTAAACTTTAAAGCCTCAAATCCCTTCACCATCGCCACAAGAGGATATCACATACCATAAAACCCGTATAGACCCTACCACCAGAGCGCTTCAAAAATGAACCCCGAACTTCTATTAGGGTTTAGGGAATAGGGTTTAAACCTAGACATTTAAACATGAAAGCAATGCAGGTAGTGCACTACATCCGACGTAAACAGTATGACGCTTACAAACTTGCATACACCCCCCATGCCTAGAACATCCTATCTCTTTTCAAGCCACCCATAACATCCTTGAACACATATATACCTCGCATCAACCTCAACACGCCCCTTTTATTGCTGTAGAAACAAACCCTCTTGTAGGTCTCTTTGTTACACTTATACGATAAGGTGCCCCAGCAAAACCTATTCTAACTTCCGGGCTCCCCTATACCCTAAGCCACAAAACCGTATAAAACTGCGAACACTGTATAAAACCGCGAAAAAATCGACGAAACCTGCATCAAATGGTAAACTTCAAAGCCTGGTGGCCTGGGGCCCAGACAGAAGGCTCCCTTCCACTGAGCTCTGCCTGGCGCCGTTTTCTTTTGAGACATAAAGAATCTGAGAGGACATTGTCTAAACACAAGATGCAAGACATCGTCGACATGAACATCAGTACGCACAAGATTTGTGTGCGTATGTCTGCTATACCTCCTTTGGTTGTCTAGTTTGTCCTCTGACCAACCCTTTTGTTGCCGTTGGATGTTCACGTGCATATCTCTGCGGCGACATTGCTCACCCTTTACGCCCAGTGTCAACAATGCTCTGGTCATGGCGATGAAGCCTGTGATCTTGAACTAAGAATCGTGTGAAACTGTTAACAATATGCCTATATGAGTTTAAGCCGGTATCCACGGAAGTCGGGACCATGATAGCAGGTTCTGGCCACGGGCTCTGCGGCGAAGAACCGAACGAGCCTACTGCCCCTCATGACCGCGATGAGTGCGGGAAAATTCGTTGTGTCGCTGTTGTCGACGCCGTCGCCGTCCTTGTATTTGTGGTGGTGGCGATCAGGGTCGATGCCGCTGCCGTCATGTACAGGTCAGGGACGACGTTATCGCCTGCATCCTGTAGTCGTAATCAGGCCTCTGGTGATACTATCAGAGTGGCACTAGCAGTCATGGCGGCGGCATGACGGCCAGGAGGAAGACTACAGCTCCTGCCGCTGCCTCAACGACAACGGCCAAATCCATGAGGATTGCCACCACTACCTTTGCGAGTATCAGCATCCTTGTCTCACATGTTGCGACAGTGGGAATGCAACTGCTCTGGCTAGTGTGGCGGTCACTACAGACTCTGTGCCCTTAACAACAACATGCGCCTCGTCCACGATGCGCAACGCCGCTTGCCACTCTTTGGCCTACTGGGGTGAATAGACAAACTTGCACAAGACACTCTACCTTTCTCAGCGCGCAAGTCCATATATATATATATATATCTGCTAGCCCCCCCCCCTGGACCAACC